TTCTTTTATTGTTGAGAAGGCAGAATGTGCTTTAAAACTTATATACAAAAGGGATTTACAATCATTTTGACTTATGCAATGTGGATTAATCGAATGTGATTTAAAATTCTAATATACACAATGTAGTTATTTGATGGGTAAAAATAACAGAGGTATTATTTTTATTTATTGGATCACTTCTGATGATTTTGAAGGTTTGGTTTACTTACAGGCCCGTGACAGGTGAGAGATTTATCTTCAGCCTTTTCACACTGACTGTCACACTCCACACACGTAGATCCATTGGCAAATTCTCGAACATCTCTGGAAAAAATCATAATACAATTAAGTTGAATAAATATTTTTTTATTATTATTTTACACTGTAAAAAATGCTGGGTTCACGCGAACACGGGCAGAACATGCAAACTCTATACAGAAACAACTGATCGAGTCAAGACTCGAACCAGCGACCTTTTTGCTGTGAGGCGTACGTGCTACCCACTGCACCACAGTGCAGCCCTGTGTTAATTCAGCTTATGTTATACAAGTAGTTTGAACAAGCAGCAACATTTTTTGAGTGTATGAAAAAGTATAGTTTCCCCAGTGATGGGTTGCAGCTGGAAAGGCATCTGCTGCGTAAAACATATGCTGAATAAGTTGGTGATTCATCCTGCTGTGGCAACCCCAGATCAATAAAGGGACTAAGCCGAAAAAAAAAAAAATGAATGAATGAATGAATGTATGAAAAATGTATAATTATTAAGAATGTTATAACAATTCTTAATAATTAATTAATATTTATTTAAATAATTTTGTATAAATAATAACGAAAAGGCATTCAGATGTTCAGAAGAGTAAAGAAATCAATGTTTTACATGTGAGAGTTCGGCACAGTAGAATGGTGATAATTACCTTGTGTCTTTTCATCATATGTGTAATATTGAAATTTTGATTTAATTAAGTTTTTCTACAAAGTATTTGACCCTGGATTACAAAATGTTGCACAGGTATATTTTTGGTAAGACATTACAAGTCAAACCTATTGATTCTAATTCACGCTCAAAATCATTTAAATATTAAGCAAATATCATGTTACATAAAGACACTTTGCAAATTCATAATGTAAATTCATAAAAATCTTAATTGCTAAATAGTAATGGGCATTGCTGAGCAATTCATTTGGACAATTTTACAGGCAATTTTCTCCATATTTAGATTTTTCAATAGTTGTGTCTCAAACACATATTGTCCGATCTCAACAAACCATACATCAATGAAAAGCCTATTTATTCAGGTTTCAGTTGATGTATAAATCTCAATAAAAAAATTAAAATTACATTTATCATATGGTTTTGTTCTCAAGGGTCACTAATGGCCCGATTCCACTTCGAGGTACAGCATGGTACTGCACGGGTCGGTAGGGGTCACCTTTATAGGGCTTGCATTTCCACTGCAAAAAGGGCACCAATAGTTATTTTTTGGTGGCCGTGGTGTACAACAGCAAGTTTCAGTCAACGTCATTCTCATTCTCCAGGAAAAGTCAAAGTAAAGCTGTACTGGTTGTTCACATATAATATGAGAAGTACTTCTCACAAAACAGATGCTTTACACATAAATATTTGTGTAAAAATGTTTATTACTAACCTTTCTATGAACATGGTTTGATTATAACTGCTTATTTGGGTTCACAAACAACACGCAACATATAACCCACAGTCAGTGCAAACCTCTCATCTGTATCTTTAATCTTCACCAGCACATGTAACCTCTGTTAAAGAGTAATTCTTTCATTCCCAAATTCATAATAGTCAAAAAGTTGATAATAATAGTTAAACATGACAGTTTGTTCATCTTTTAGGTTGCAGAAAGAATCATTTGCTCCTTTGCTTTTTCCGGCTTCTCCATTGTTTTTTTTTTGCGCGCCAGTCTCACGTTTGTTTATTTCTGAAAGGATCAGATGTCAGAAGCACTTCAATAATACCGCACACGTTATTATCATCAAAACTCAAGGACTTCAAGAAATTTGTTCGTAAAACAAGACAGGCTTATAAAACAACAACAGGACACAGCAGATTTTGTTCTTCTTGGCTTTGTGGCAGTTCATCAAGATGATGGCAAGGTTTGTTTGAGCTCGTGTCGACCATGGCTTGTTATTATTTGTATATATTATATATTAATGTAACAGTGTAATGTCTTGGCAGTGTTTTTAAAAATGGTGGTTCCTTTGTTTTCATTCTCCTGCTTGTGTGCACTAGTGACGTATCTCTGTAAAGCAATAGTGTTTAGTTGCGCATCTAGCTACGCCTTTTGGTACTCTTTTGTCGTGCTAGGTACCCTTTGCAAAGGGTAATCAAAAAAGTGGTACAGTACGGTTAGATTTTTGGTACTCTTTGACAGTAGAAACAGCCATAAAAGCATACCGAACCGTATAGTACCGAGGAGTACTGTACCACTCAGTGGAAATGGGCCAATAATTTAAGTAACATTTAAAATTTCGTTATTTGATTACAGATACATTTTTGAAAAATATTCTTTGCTTATTCAATAATGCCAGTCAATCACAAGTTTTTGAGTCAAAAGTGACTTTTAAAAATGACGTATTCTCTGAGCTACAACACATCCAGCAGGTTTTGTTTGGTCTGTGACTCATCCTCCATGTCTTCTTGAACCCCAGCCAGCTGAACCACAGACACTACATTAACACACTGGCAAGAACTTGGCCAGTCGGCTGAGTAAGATCCATGAAAAAAAAAAATAATAATGGCATTTTAATTAGAAAAATCTTTCTCAGCGCTGGTCTGAGAGGAAAGAACAAACAGTCCTCTTTAAATTTTATCTAAGCAGATGGCAGCTCAGATTGCAGGAGATACGGCAGAGGAGCTGCCCAGCCGAGCCATCAATACCCTTCCCTTTGTTCGCTTCCATCAGCCCGGGTTTCAGAGAGAGATTTCAGAGGCGGATCCAAAACAGGGAAAGATGCTGCCTTGTCAATAACAGAGTGGGGATCAAAGAAACCTCCCGGATCTTAAAACATCAGAAATCCAGTGGACGAGCGCTTCACAGTTTGAAGTTTCTCACAGACTCATGCTGCTCAAAATGGGTGCTAATGTGGTGCCTCAAACTAACTATCTAAATAACTACAGCTTATTCCATCCCCAGCTATTAATGGGCATTCTACTTTATTTTTATTCAATTTTTGCTATCAAATTTCATTTTTTTATTTTAATATTCAAAATCAGGTTATGCATCCCACATGACAAACCACTATCCCCCAAAAAATACATCAATAGAACGCTTATTTATTCAGATTTCAAGTGATGTATAAATTTCAGTTTCAAAAATTACACTTATGACTGGTTTTGGTGTCACATATAAGATTTAAATTGTCAGTATTTTGATTAAAGATTATTAATTTTTAAATATTCATTCATTCGCTTTCCTTTGGCTTAGTCTCTATTTCAGAGGTCGCCACAGCGGAATGAACTGCCAACTATTCCAGCAAATGTTTTAAGTAGTGGATGTCTCTCCAGCCACAACCTAGTACTGTAAAACACCCACACACTCATTCACACACATTCATACACTACAGCCAATTAAATTTATTCATTTCACCTATAGTGCATGTGTTTGGACTTTGGGAGAAACCGGAGCACCCGAAGGAAACCCACGCCAACACGGGGAGAACATGCAAACTCCACACAGAAATGCCAACTGGCAGCACCCAGGGTCGGGTCGCAAGAGCAGCAGTCTCAGGAGAGAACCCCAGACTTCCCTTTCCCCAGACACTTCCTCCAGCTCCTCCGGGGGGATCCTGAGGCATTCCCAAGACAGCCAAACACATTGTCCCTCCAGTGTGTCCTGGGTCTTCCTCAAGGCCTCCTCCCAAAAGGACATGCCTGGAACCTCTCCATAGGTAGGCATCCAGGAGGCATTCAAAAGAGATGCCCAAGCCACCCCAGCTGACTTCTCTCGATGTGGAGGAGCAGCGGCTCTACTCTGAGCTCCTTCGGGGTGACAAAGCTCCTCATCCTATAAGGGTGCGCTCTGCCACCCTGTGAAGGAAATTCATTTCGGCCGCTTGTATCCAAGATCTTGTCCTTTCGGTCATGACCCAAAGCTCATGACCATAGGTAAGAGTAGGAACGTGGATTGACCTGTAAATCGATAGTTTTGCCTTTCGGCTTAGCTCCTTCCTCACTCCAACGCACCTGTACATCGAGCGTATTACTGCTGCCACTGCACCAATCTGCCTGTCAATCACACATTCCATCCTTCCCTCACTCGTGAACAAAATGCAAAGATACTTGAACTCCTCCACCTGGGGTGAGGACTCAAACCTGGAGAAGGCAAACCATCTTTTTCCAGGGGAGCAATTCACCTAATTCAGCAAACGTAATTTAAAATGATTCCATTTACTTATAATCAATTGTCCCTACCTATGTACAGCATGTAAAACCTGCATTATTAATTGTAGGCCTATTATTTATTATATTTTATTTGAAAATTAAATTACATTGATTCTAATTTTATATCACTTATTTTGTTCTTTGTTTTATTTAAAAGCAAATCGAGCAAAACTTAATTAAATATGATTCTCTAAAATCTGAATTCGCTTACTGTACCTTCAACCCTCAGCCTGTATATTTTATTGTACCATTTACCTTTATTTTTAATGTTAACATTAATTAAATTGCCATTAATTAATCCTGTAAGTAAACAAAACCTCTAACCCCAATTACTCCAGAAAAATGTAATAAATAAAATAAAACAAAAAGCTGTTCTCAGGTCTGCACTGACACACACAAACACTGCAGCCGATTTAAAGCACGATTAATTGAGTGTAATGAGACTCTCTAAAATATGACACTCCCCCACAGCTGATTATTGTTAGGAACTAAATTACATTTTTCCGCCACGGGGAATCCTATTCAGATGTTGGTCAGAGTTGCCATTGTTTAATGACTACACTAGAAAAGCAGTGGCAGCCAAAGAGCTCTTCTCTGAGGCTCCCGGCGGATCTGAATGTAAATGTGTTGTCAGATGAGTGTTTCCTCTTTGTCGTTCACAGATGGCAGTGTGTTTGCAAACCACTCGGGACAGGCCTGACGAACAATTAGCTGGATTTTGGCCTGTGCATTCACACCGGCCAGACGTGGTAGTGCTGCCTGCACTCTCAATAATAGCGGTACAAAAACTGTCACCCTTTTCAAAAGCTACAGATATGTATACCTTTGTGCTAATATGTACTGTAGATTTAACACAAGAGCTGCCAGGGGTCATTGTATACCTAAAATTGCCAGCAGGTCAAATTTACCCGTGCATATGATAGCTGTTTCGATTTGGTTTGAAACCTATTATGTCACTGTGTTATGCCACAAGTCTAGATTTGTGATTTGCTCAGGTGTTATTTTTTTACAGACTTCAACAGAGTGTAAAAATCTTGATAGTTCTGTGGGTCTCGTCTATCAAATCTGAGCTTTATTTTGCATTTAATATTAGAATAAAGTCAGGTGATTGGCCGGGCCATTCTACAGCTTGATTTTCTTTCTCTGCAAGTATTTGAGAGTTTCCTTGGCTCTGTTTTAGATCATTAGCCCCTTTCACACATACAGAAGGTTGTATGTGTGAACAAATCCTTTTTGAAAATACCGGTAAATTCGTTCTGGCTATTTTCCGGAAAGAGAAGTTGTAACATTACCGGCAATTTGCCGGAATGCTGCGCTGTGTGAATGCAGATGGAAGATTCCCGTAATGTGCACGTCTAGAACGTGCTGACGTGAGACGTCTGCTTTAGCCAATCACAACAGTCAGACGCATTTACGTCCGCCCGGTTTGTGAGGATAAAAGCCTTTGAATATTTTTCCAGACACATTTAGCTGCTAGAAGTTAGTCAGATCACGTTTATATGTTCTTCTTAATGCCAACTGTGTAAATAATCATCGATGAGATGCTTATGATAAGCCGTTGTTTGTTTACCTTCAAGCTTTGCGTGCGCCTATGAGCGCCTCCACACGCACATATTATGAACATCTCGACATGCGAAAGTGATCCTGCGAAAGTTGTTCACAACATTGATCATCCACAGAGTCTGTAATTTAGTCAAATGTTTACAAATACAAGCGCAGCCGTTTAAAGCTCATTTGTGGTGAATGATGTCAGAATTTACCGGTATTTTGGAATGGATGTGTGAACGCTCTTTTCCGGAAAATTTCCGTAACGTCCTCGCCTGTGTGAACAGCGCTTTTTTGAATATACCGGTAAAGTCGTTATATAAAAATATTTACCGGTATCACTGTGTGAAAGGGGCTATTGTCTTGCTGAAATGTCCACCCTGCGGTTTCATCTTCATCATCCTGATATTTTAGATGTTGAACTGAAGCAGCTGATAATAATTTGCAATGAGGAAGGACAGAGGGTTTCTGAAGACCTACTAAGAAATTTCAGCTGCTGTCTGGGCTTTCACTGCCTTCCTATACCTTCCTTTCTTCATGTGTTCAATACTGTGTAATTCCCCGTGTAATTTTAGTTTATTACACATAATTTAATTTGTAAACTAAATAGATTTGTTTTCTTTGTAAATATGGATTTATTTATTTGTTACCAAGATCCAGGAAAACTTTCAAAGTCAAAGGCACCTTTAGAAATATGTTTTCTGAGAAAAATGGTAGCATATTTAATACTTATTTTGTATACTAGAGCACAAAACAGACACAAGTAAAATTTATACTTCAACCAAATGCTGAATATATATGCTTTTCATTGGTGTATACTGTGTTAAGACAGGACAATATTTGGTCAAGATACAGTGCACGGTTTAAATAAACAAATACAACAAAATAAAAATAAACATTGAGAAAATCTCCTGTAAAGTTGTCTAAATCTAGATCTTAGCAATGCATTTTACTAATCAAAAGATACATTTTTGATGCATATACAGTTGAGGTCAGAATTTATAGCCCCTAAATTATTAGCGCCCCTGTTTTTCAACACATTTCTAAACATAATAGTTTTTGTAACTCATCTCTAATAAATTATTTATTTTATCTTTGCCATGATGACAGAAAATACTATACGACTAGATATTTTTTAAGACACTTCTACACAGCCTAAAGTGACGTTTAAAGGCTTAACTAGGTTATTTAGGTTAACTAGGCAGGTTAGAATAATTAGGCAAGTAATTGTATAACAGTGGTTTGTTCTGCAGTGTAGACTATTGAAAAAATTTGCCCCTTTAAGGGGCTAATAATTTTGTCCTTAAAATGGTTTTAAAAAATTAAAAACTGCTTTTATTCTAGCCGAAATAAAACAAGTTAGGCTTTCTCCAGAAGAAAAAATATTGTCAGACAAACTGTGAAAATTTGCTTACTCTGTTAAACATAATTTGGAATATTTAAAAATATTCGAAAATATTTGAAAAAGAAAAATCAAAGGGGGGCTAATAATTCTGACTTCAACTGTATATATATATATATATATATATATATATATATATATATATTATTAGTAAATGTACAAAATATCTTTATATAACATGATATTTACTTAATATTATAATAATTTTGGCATAAAAGAAAAATCTACAATTTTGACCTACAATGTGTTCGACTGCCCAAAATATACCCATGCAACATAAAACTTTTGTGGTCCAGGTTCACATATACACAACAATGTTTTTAAAATAATCACATGTGTACGTATTGATAAAAACAGCTAAAAATGCTGTATAACAGATGCCAGACCAACAGCTTGTGCTGTCGCCTTGTTACTAAGCAGTTCCTGTAGGGACGTGCAAATAAACAGGCAAAAAACATAAAAAGCTTTGCGTTTTTGACTGAAAACACTGTAATGTAAACGGCTCCTTAATCATCTAATTAACGGGATCTCATTGGCTTAATGCTGTTGCTTTGTTTGCTACACAGAACACTAAATCACAAGGGGCACAAAAATGATAGCGTGATTATAAGAGAATTATATTGGTAAATTTGACTTCCCAGAGCTCACAGGTATAAATGTTCTACTTTTATTCTGATTTAAATAAAAAGACCCAGATATTTTACTGAAAAGCTGGTATGTAGTTTTAAAAAGCAGCTATGTGTATATTTGATCATTCTAGTGTTAAAATACATTATGGACTCTTTAGGTACAAAGGTGTGCCTTTTGAAATAAATGCTGCCCCAGTCAGTTTTTGTATCTTTGTTTTTTTTTTTTGTGTGCTGAAAATCATACTAGTAACTCTTAGATGAAATCCATCCCTCTCTCGGATTCTCTTCATCTTTCCATACACATCCCCAAGGCAAAAGTTTGTACACGTATTGCGTCGGCAAAGTGACTGCAATCTAAATGATAGATAGTCTTCATAAAACATACCCAGAGTAAAAAATATTGTGGTTGTGTTTTTGAAAACTATAAAGAAATATATAAATATGGCTGTACACAGTAGTTTAGTGATGTGCATGTCATTTCAAATTTCACCCAAACAGTGCGGAAATAATGTGTATTAAAAAATGCTAATTGTCAACTAAAGAGTATGTTTTAGTTTACACTGATCAACGTATGCCTAAAATTACAGTTTTATTTGTGAAATATTGTATATGGTGTGCGTTAAATTTCTTTTTATCAGAATAAATTATTTAGATTACACGTGTATGTGTCAGCCCAGGTGATAAAAATAATAATTAAATAAAGATAAGCATATTAATATTTATATTAATATTTATAATTCATATTAATTTGTATGAATACTGCATAACATATTAAGAATTACCATTTAATAATTTATTGACCATTAATAAGTTGAAAATTATTAACATAAATTATTTATTATTTAGGTAACACTTTATTTTGATGGTCAATTTGAGTATTAGTAGACTGTCAGATTAATATCTGTTGACATTTCATATTTCTGCCGTGCAACAAAGCGCCATGTGAAGTTTCATTTTAAATATCATGCAAATGTGCGTGTCATCCGGTGCCTCAGTCAAAGTTAATTCAGTGTTCGTGGTTATTAATCTCGGTGTACAAGCTCAGAACTTTAAACTAGCACACAGTTGGCTGTAAAACTATACAAAGACACAAATTATTCTGTAGTCTCTGCTTGGTCTGTGTCCGAGTCCAGGTCGTACATATACGGCTGAATGCTGGTCCTCTCACTCATGTTGCTTCTCTCTGTTGCCAAACACAAAGCGGGGGAGCTCTTGGCTCCGCCCACTTTTTACATTGGGCGGGAAGTCGAAACTAATTTTCATGTGAAGCAAAACACCCCTAAAACAGCGAGCTGTGTACACGCCCCCAAAATAACACTTTTAATACATTATAATAAAAAAAAAAATCTGAATTGTGTTTTGAACTGAACCTAAACGGACACACTCAGAAGAACCATAATATTAATATTAAATCATAAAAAAGGGGTAAACTAGGTGCACTTTAAACTCAACAAACGGACCATCAAAATAAAGCGTCACCATTATTTACAATTTAAAGCATTGCAATGTCTTTGGGCCAAAGTAATTATGGTGCAAATGTATGTGATACTGCAGAAAATAATAACCTAGTTTAAATTAATCCATCAAACAAAATTTCAATTAATCACCTAAAAACATGATATAGCCTACTAACATAATACTCTCTATTTTATATACAAATCTATTAAATAAAAATATTTCTAATTTCCATCATTCCTTCATTATCTGAAGCCTGCATGTGATCTGTCTGTTACTCACCCATTATACAAATTACAGGACCTCACACATGTCCTTCCCCGGCTGAAGTATTTACAGGACAGACACTGATTTGGCCCGGGCCCCCAGCATCCTGACACTGAGCACAGCGGATCACAAACCATCCTCTGTTGAGCTGCAGAGCACACACACACACACACACACACATACATACAAGAACATAAGTGCAATGAATTGCACATCAAAAAATATTACAGGTCTCATGACATTCAAAGTTTTGTAGCCATTAGACCGTTTATACTGGCTTTGAGATTCACCTTATGGCTTGAACATATTAATATTACCTATTATTAGATCCCCCGAAGTGCTTTGAAAAGTGAGCTTTGTTTGATGTGTAATGTACTCTGTAATTTCAACGTAATCGTAATGACAGGGCAGGTTATATCCAATGTCTCTTCATCCCTTTTTGATGAGGAATGAATAAGCTTATTAAAGTTTATAACCACTTGTGTGTGAGTAAATGGTGAATATTTTTTTTTATTTTTGAACTACCAGAATTCAATAAAACTAAAACAACCAAAGCCATCATACTAGCTGTTCTCATATTATCATGTCAAATTTTTATTCAATGCCTCTATTGAAATATCGAGTGAAGCTTTTAATGTCTGTTGTCATGTTTTATGAAGTCATTCTCTTATAATATAATAATAATCTAATATAGCCTATAAATGTGTCCAAGTTACTAGTTACAAGTTGAAGTGTCTACATACATCACTTTGACTTTCACAAGCAGGAGTTTTTTCACGGCACTGAAAATGTTGTTTTGAAAGACATGTCTGATGTAAAGGTTTATTTTTGCAATCAGAAAGTTATGTTTTTGTTAGCAGGAAGTTGCTAGGCAACAGAGGCACACATATTCACAGCCACAGGGAAAAGTAGGATGACACTGAAATGCATGTGCTCATTTTGACAGCTATATGGCAATTAAAGGTTGAAATACTTATTGATTTTTGTAATTATAATACAATAAAAAATGTTAAAAATTAATTTACACATATTTAAAAAAAGGCAGGGTATTTTGGATGTGTGGGTTTTATTTTAATAAAGTTATTAAATTACAAAAATGAAAAACAATCAAAATGAACATCTCAATATTTCTAGTGTTAAGACTAAAATATCAACACAAACACCTCTAAAAAATTTTCATTTGATTTCAGGGAGACTTTAATATTTCAACAGAAAATATGGCAACATAAGGATGAAAACTGCACTTGTAAAACAACAAAGTATTTAAGTAGATACATCTGTTACATTTAGCCAACCCAGGCTCATTCTGAAAATGTACCACTACATACATTTTGGAGAGTGCCAAATATGTCACAGGAGCTTAAAACTTTTTTTGTTTTTGTTTGCGTTAATCCACCAGAGGCCACTGTGTACACATTTTGAGATCTTAAAACTTTCTCATGAGTGCCATTCACACCTGCTGTTCTCACGTAATCCACCAGAGGCCGCTGTTGACTGACTGACTGACTGACTGACTGACCTACTCCTTCACTATACCCAACAAAAAGTGTTTTCAAAAATGCCGATTGACCCGCCCATCCACTTCCCTAAACTCAACTGACAGTGTTTTCAAAAGCAATCCAGAAAAAGAAAAGTTTGATTTTTACCACATTTCAGATTTTACCACATTCTCACCCTGTTATTTAATTGTTTATTTTATTTTTTAGCTTCTGTTTTTGTATTACCTGTTTTCTGAAACCGTTCTCACCAGACTCCGTCGTCATGGTCAACTTCTCTTTGCGTCTAAAGTTCGCCAACATACATGGCGAGCTACTGGACAAACTGATAACAGCGGGAGAGCCGTCCACGCGGAGGTAAGCAAACAGCTAGTAAGCGCGAAAAGGAACAACGTCATACCGCTCTGTAATGTTCATTTTTAAGACAAAATGCAGCCATACATACCTCTGGCTACATAAAATCTCCAGAAATGTATATAGGGCTACGTTTTTATAATGAGCCTATGTTGGATTTAGCTCTGTCAGCCATTTTAAGCATATTTAAATATCTTGGTAACACTTTAAAAAAGGGTCGTATTAGTTAATGTTAGCTTATGCATTTTCTAACATGAACAAACAATGAACAATATTTTTATTACAATATTTATTTATGGTAGTTAATATTTATTAATGAAAATACAATGCTTATTGTTAGTTGTTAACTCACGGTGCATTAACCACTGCTAAAGAGCATGAAGTTGGATGTTAAAGAGCCCATATTATGGGTTTTTGAAAATTCCCCTCCATGTAGTGTGTAACACAGCTCTAAGTGAAGTGAAGTATCCAGCTAAGGCTTAAATCTGTAAGAATACAGTGTTTAAAACGGTTGATTCATCTATAAAAGAGTCGACTTATAGTGCTTCAAACGAGCCGCCTTGATACCGATTCATTAGGTGTTTCGCCATGACGTACGAACGAAACCAAGTTATTCACGTGCACGCGCAAACCCGGGAGATTTCAAACCTGAGGCCCCGCCCTCTGACGCAGAAATCCAGACACACACACACACACACCCACAAACACACGCACACCCACAACAACACACACACAAACATGCCGGTCGATTGAAGTCACACTGCAGATGGATATAATATTGAGTCTCTACCCAAAGATGAAACATCAGCATTATAACCAAGCAGTTGGAAACTTCTGGAAGCTACATGCTACAAAGAATACTTCATCTGAGTTTGTTAAAGGAAGGATCAGTAAACAGTAACTTACTGATGGACGTCAGGATGGGTTTCTTCCTCCATTTCTCAAGTGTAAGTACGTGCGGTTAAAGTTGTTGCCTCGTTGACTCTAGCTTGCAAATGTATTTAGTTGTGATTTGTTACTTGTAACCGCGTGTACTGTATCAGGTTAACTGGCTATATTCTCTTATCGCGTGCAAAGTCACGTTAAAAACGCGACGCGTGCTGCTTTGTTTATGGAGCTCCGTGCTAGAGTTCTGCTCCCGCGATTTATTCGGAAATTTATTCCCGCGCCGCAAAAATCTGGCGCGGGGACAGCCGCGGGAATAAATTTCCGAATAAATCGCGGGGAGCGGTCGGTAACGGGTTTAATTTGGGATGGGAGCGGGCTGTCTAGCAATATCACGGATATTGCTATGCGAATGAGAAAGAGAGAGTCTGCTTGGTGCTTGTGTGTGTGTTAGTGCGCGCGTATGAGAGAGAGAGAGAGAGAGAGAGAGAGAGAGAGAGCGCGAGAGAGCGAGCAAACGAGCTTTGTGTGCTTGGTGCTGTGTGTGTGTTTATACAGACAGCTTGGCTGTCTGGACTGTATAGCTGGGTGATTTTTGGTCCCCCGCTCTAGCGGGATCGGGCGCGGTGGGCAGAAAACGGAGCAGGTTCTTAGTCTAAAACCTGGCGGGTGCGGGCGGAAGCGGGAGCGTTGTCGTCCGGAGGTGTGTGTGTGTGTTTTTGTGTGTGTGTGGCAGCTAAAATCCACGCCTACACTGTCGAGCGTGTATGAACTGTGATTACTTTTATATTGCTGATTGGCTATTGGCCATTTCACTCTCTGACTGAAGGCAGTCGACCAATCGCGACAGACTGTCATCGGTCCAATCAGCGCAGATTAGCTTTGCGCTAAGGAGGGGTTTAGGAACAAATGAATCACTGGACGATTCATACAGGAGTCGCTGGGATAATTAGGTAAAAATAAATGCATATTATAAGACCATGAAAGTGTTTTTTGACCTTGCATGCATATTAGACTGTTGTTGGAGACCCTTACAACCAAGATATGACCCTATTTCATGTATAATATGGGCTCTTTAATAATGCATTAGTATATGTTGAACTATGATTAATAAATGCTGTACAAGTATTGTTCATAATAAGTCATGGTAGTAAACATATTAACTAATAAAAGCTTATTGTAAAGTGTGACCAATATCTTATAAAACATATTACAACTGAATCTATATGAACGGCAAATAAAAACTCTGTATTAACTGAAGCACTATCCCTCATATTTAGTAAAAGTGAAGCACTGGGTACGCTGGACAATCCAGAGATGAGATCGGTATAGTGTGAAAAAAGAGCTGGATGAATGAGCCGACTAACAGCGCCATTGATCCTGCACACCACAGACTTATTATCACACTAATTACATCAAGCACAGTTTGGCAGCGCGGCACTGTGGGAAGTGTTCTGCTACTGTCAACATCTCCATTACCGATAAATCTGCGCTTCTCTGTTTCATCAGTTCAGGGAATCCTTATCGTTCGTAAGTTATTCCCCTGTAAAACGATTGCCTTTATGTCCTATGCGTGTCCCATAGGTAAAGTATAGTGAAATTCAAGAGCTGGCAGACCTAATAGACTAGTCTATTATTAATCCTTAAGTGCAGTATGATGGGTAATGGGTTGACCACATTTAGGTCTAGGTTTTACATGTCATTATTTCCATGACAATTCAGCATATCCTTATTGTGATTTATTAAAATATTCACATACACTAACCGGCCACTTTATTAGGTACACCTTACTATTACCAGGTTGGACCGTCTTTTGCCTTCAGAACCGCTTTAATCCTTTGTAGCATAGATTCGACAAGGAACTGGAAATATTCCTCAGAGATTTTGGTTCATATTGACATAATAGCATCACGCAGATGCAGCAGATTTGCTGGCTGCACATCCATGATCTGAGATGATTTGCGCTTTATAACATGGCAGGTTATCCTGCTTGAAGTAGTCATCAGAAGATGGGTACACTGTGGTTATGAAGTGATGCACATGGTCAGCAACAACACTCAGGTAGCCTGTGGTGTTGACACAATGCTAAATTGGTAGTAATGGGACCAAAGTGTGCCAAGAAAATATCCCCCACACCATTACACCACCACCAGCAGCCTGAACCGTTGATACAAGGCAGGATGGATTCATGCTTTCACGTTGAAGCCAAAATCTGACCCTACCATCCGAATGTAGCAGCAGTAATCGACTCATCAGACCATGTAAGCCTGTGCCAATTGTATTTCTTCCAAATTTACAATAAATGTTGACAATTAAGGTGTTTTTTATGTTTGCATAAAATAAAAAGGTGTCATATTTTCAGACCTATCTGTATTGATCTTTAAGAAACACAATGCTAATGTTTTAATTTCAATTTAGTTATATTTTTTTCAATTTTTTTCAATTTATTTTTGCATTTTTATTTTTTAATTAAGAGATAAGAAATCAATATTTGGTGGAATAACCATGACTTTCAGAGACAAATAATGAAAACATTAGCTATTCACACATTACATCACCCTGTGCATTTTAAAGAATCACACAAGAAAAGAGTGATGGAAACACCAAACTTCAAATAAAAGTCCCTTATCATGCAAAAAAAAAAAAAAAAAAAAAGGGTTATTATAACAGGAAGTATCTAATATTAACCTCACATGACCAGTCAGTGTTTCCGCTGGAGGTGCCTTGTTTACTATTGATCATTACATGTAGACTATCAATGCTATATGAAAAAGCTCCTAATTTGCATTGTTTTCATTTTTGGTGAGCTTTAAAAATATTCACTTTATGGATGGAAATCCTAAGATGAAGCGTACAAAGAGAATAAAGCACATTTAACTTGCGCATTTATCTTACACTTATTGTATTATATATGCTTGAGTATGAAGATTTTTATCACAATCTGCATCTCTAAAGTCCGTTTTTCAAATTTTTTTCTTTTTTTTTCTTGCACACGGAGTTAGAAACCTTCACAACAACTACATATTCAGAAGGGATTTTAGGTAACACTTTATTTAAAATAACAATTCATGCTATTAACAAACCATTAATTGAGTTACTAATTTAAGTAGCTGCCTAATAATAAGTAAGTAAAGTGGAAGTTAGGTTTAGGTCTTGGGTACACTGTAAAAAAAATCTGTAATTTTATGGTTTATTTCCGGCAGCTGGGGTGCCGGAAAAAACATAAAATAACGGCTGTTAAATTACAGAAATTTACCATAAAATAACAGACACTAAATTACAGAACTTTTTGAACATAAAAATTTCTAGTAAATTTCTTTAATTCAATCTCTGTTATTTTACAGTAAATTTATTTAACTTTTTTTTTTTTGACACCCCAACTGCTGGAAATAAACCGTAAAATTGCGGATTTTTTTTACAGTGTATTTTACATCCCATATCATACACTGTAAGAAAATCCGTTATTTTACTTTTTTTCTGGCCAAAAAAATAAAAAATAAAATAAAATAAAATAACGGCCAGTAAATTACAGACATTTACCGTAAAATAATGAAGGGTAAATTACAGAAATTTACTGGAAATTTTAGGAAACTTCTGTAATTTAAAGTTTGTTATTTTATGGTAAATGTCTGTAATTTAACGGTGTTTTTTTACAGTGTAGGATTACAGATATAGAATAAAATAATACTTTATAACTACCAAAAACAGCTAATGCTTCAATAATAGGATGGTAACCGGCTTATTACTCACCTATTATTGCAATATTACCTTTTTTATTTAAGTATTTAATAGCATGAATTGTAATTTGAACTACAGTGTGTAAGTGAATATTTCTTTAAATAGCATTTATGTGATTTATGTCACACTTCATTTCTAAAATCATGGTGAATTTTAGGCTGTAAAATCCTTTAAGATAATTTGACTGAACGTGTCTGATAGCATTGACTCACAGCACTCTCTGGGGTCTCTGTTGTCCTTGATCTTGGCTTTCTGTGTGCTGGTGCGAAACAGAGACGTCCAGTTGACTGTGCTGTAGAAGCAAAGCTGGCTGTTGTTGGTCATGTAGACGTTACCAGCGCTGATCTCTCTCAGAGACTGAAACTGCAGAGACGTGATCCAGCGCTGCTTTAGGATCAGCAGAGAAATACCACTGGCAAAATAAAATACACAAGCAAATGAGACTGAAGGATAATTTTAGGATTTCCAAACCAATGATTTCCAAAAACACAGCAAAAACAGAGACCGTATAATGATCACACACCATTTAGATATTTCTAAACATGCCTTATAATCATTCATTTCATTTGTTAAGACAAGGCTGGAAATGGCTGGAAACCAGCCTGAAAGTGGCCAAAACCCCTCTAAAACCAGGCAGGTCGACCAGCTAAAACCAGCCAACCAGCCTAGGCTGGTTTAAGCTGGATTTTTCAGCAGGGCTGAGCACCAGGAGGAAACCCATGCCAACATAGGGAGAACATGTAATCTTCACACAGAAATAAAAACTAGCCCAGAAGACACTTGAACTAGTTCGTAAAGCATACACTCAATGCATCACCTAGCGGGTTCCACACAGGCTTCTGCATCTTGCTTATATACACGATGAACAGCAGCTACGCTAATTATTCTCTTTATTCTCTATTTTCACCTGGGGATACTCATCCCGAGGTCCTCAGATTATGCGGAGTCACTGATTGGATCCAAGACCAGCGACGTGATGATCCCAAGGATTCCATATCCGGGACCAGGCCATATCCTGAGCTGCTGCTGCGCTGATGGTCGAGGGGAGTGGAGAACATGAGTCTGATTCCAGCGACGTTCCAGGGACAGATGAGTCTTCGCTGAGGCCATCTTCCAGCCTAAACCACGGCGAATGAAGCTCTGCACAAGACTTTTGGCCAGCGAAGAAATTAAAATGGTCATGCTGAACTGAGTCTGGTTCCCTCAAGGTTTTTTTTCTTCACTCCCATCAGGTGAAGTTTTTTTTCCCTCTCCGCTGTCGCCACTGCCTTGCATGGTTCAGGATTGGTAGAGCTATGCATCGATGAATTTGCTCTTCAGTGTTTGAACTCTCAGTAATGATTAAATCACACTGAACTGAGCTAAACTGAACTGAACTGAACTTAAACACTAAAACCTGAACCACACTGTTCCAGTTACTATGACCATTTATGTAAAGCTGCTTTGACACAATCTACATTGTAAAAGCGCTATACAAATAAAGCTGAATTGAATTGAATTGAATTGAATTGAATAGTGACCTTCTTGCTGTGAGGCGACAGTGCTAACCACTGAGTAACTGGCCACCTTGTGAAACTTTAAATACACTGTACTGGATTTGGTTAATCTAAATAACTAAAACACGAATGACATTCATACCTGTAGAGAGTTCTTCCTCCTATGGTGACAAGGTTGGAAAAAACACTAAGGTCAGTCATGTTTTCAGGCCAAGACTGGATGTTCAAGTAACCTTAGGATGAAATCAAGAAAATTCAAGTATTATTCAGTGGTTATTTTCTTAATTGATAATAAGAAAAAAAGCAAAAGTTGTTTACTACTTGCAAAAGCAATAAAGATATATAGATATATTACATCCCACCAAATGAACCGCATCACTGCGAGCATTTTTTATGGTTGCACATGTTTTTTATGATCAATATTTTTGTGGATCAGAATCAGAGGTGCCTTTATACTGTGGTCATGGAAACTGCGTTCATGACAGCAGTCATAGGTCTTTCTTATTGTGCAGATTTTCATTACGTTACACTACATTAACTGCAGTACAATATCTGATTGTGGCACGCAACAGATTTAATGAAATCAAAGTCTCTTAATATGACTAACTGTCCACTTTTATTATAACATTTTAGAGAAAAATAAAGCAGTTGAAAATAAGAGGGATCTATGATATGCCAAAAAATGCTTGATAACAATGCTTTACTATATTTAGCAAAAAATACAGAAGGATTAATGACTATAGCTACCTGTGATCTCTCTGACGGTGCGGAAAACATTTAGTCTCTCCGGATCCAGAGCCCTGATGCCATGATACATGTCTCTGTTAAACAAAGCAAACACACAGTTAATGGATTAAAATACTGTGTGTACACTTACAATGTGTACAAACATGAAAATGGAGCAGTTTTATACAGTAGCTCTTAAAAATGATCTTCTTTTTGCATTTACTAATATGCTAATTCAGTCAAATTAAATGATTTAATTTACTTAAGAACACAACAAATTACTGATTTAGAAAATCAAGAAACATCAAACATGATTGATGACTATTGATTAAATAATATGCACAAGCATTTTAATATTGCCTTATTATATCATTAAAAGATTTGGTTATTATCATTGTATCAATATACAAATTTTACACATATATAAATGAAGAAAAAAAGTCATGATAGACCTAAAATCATGAAAGCAACATGCTAAAATCATGATAATTAAATGCCAATTCATACTAGAATCAAGCTAATTCACGCTAGAATCAGGCTATTTATGTGCTAATTCTTAGAATCATGCTAGCATGCTAATTCATATGAGAAACATTCTAACAACATGCTAATTCACGTTAGAATCATGCTAACATCGTGCTAATCAATGGTAGAAACATTTTAACATCATGGTAATTCATGCTAGTAATCTGCTAATTCATGATAAAATCATACTAACAACATGCTAATTCATGCTAAAACATGTTAACATGTTAATTCATGTTGGAACTATGCTAACAACATGCTAATTCATGTTAGAAACATAAGGACATTCTAACTCATATTAGAAGCATTTTAACAACATGCTAATTCATGTTGGAATCATGCTAACAATATGGTAATCAGTGTTAGAAACATGCTAAGCTGGTTGACAGGTTTTAGCTGATCAACCAGCATGGTTTTAGAGGGTTTTTTTGCCATTTATAGGTGTAACAAGGGCCAGCTAATAAGTGCTTTGCAGGTAAATCTCACTCCTCTGACCTCTAAAGGTGCTCTAGCAACATACCCTAGAGGCCATGGTCTTTAGCCTCCTTGGTAGAGCAACCAACTCCCATGCGGAAGGTCACTGGTTCGATACCAGCTCAGAGCGGGTTGGGTAGCATAGGACCGGCGGGGTTACATAGGCTGGTTTCCAGCCATTTCCAGCCAGCTGTTTAGCCGTGCCAGGCTGGGAGCCCAGCCAAAACCAGCTGTCTCAAGCTTAAACTAGATTGGTCGACAAGCTAAAACCAGACAACCAGCTTAGGCTGATTTAAGCTGGATTTGTCAGCAGGGAGGGATCAACTTTAAAGCTTTTTACTGGCTTGCTTCAGTCTTTAAGGTTACATTGTAGGGATCTTAAATTTTAGCCAACTTGAAACTTTTTCAAACTAAATAAACTACTATCAACATACTTTCTTAAGACACCATAAAGTCTGTCCTCAAACTTTACTATAGCTTATAATATTTTTATATTATTAGAAGTATTTAATAATAACTTTAAATTATTTTTATAAAAGCATTCGTCTTTTTCAAACATTTAAAATAAGCTAATTTTTTTCTTAAAACAGCAAATAGTAAAAAAAAACAAAAAGTATATATTATACATTCATATTCATACACTTAATTATAAATACTAAATTTTCTAACATGTAAAAGGGGAGGGAGAGAGAGTACATTTATCTCTCAAAATTTCTGTAATAACTCAAAAGACAGTCTCTTGATATCCTGGAAACAACAAGGTTGACCTCGGTGGGAGTTTTGCGTCAAGGTCACAAATCACGTGTCTTTAGAAATATTTCTTCTGAGCAACATTTGAGTCGATGTACATCAAATCCCACTCTCCGCAACGCATTTCAGGAGCAGCTGACAACCACTTATAGCTGCTTTTTAGGGCACGCAGCAGTTCAAAGAGAAACACAAATGTAATCTGGGAATATCACACACTGTCAGGCCCAAAGACTTAAAGATTCCTCACCCTTTGATGCCTGTGATGAGGAAGATGAGGTTGCCGTTGATCTTGGTGCAGTTGACAAACTTCTCAATGTTGCTGGAATCAACAGTTTGGGCTGATTGAAGGCTGCCGGTTCCTATACCATCACACACTAAACACCACAAACAAACATACACAGGCATATGAGATACCGTATTGTACTAGTAATACAGGCACACTTTAAATCATATGAGCATAAAGGGATGTTAAAAAATGACTTAGTTGTTTAACCTCCTGATCTTTTGCTCAGAACATTAACAACAGTTGAAGATGCTTGAGTTTGCTTTTGAATGAGAGAGGGAGTTTTTATTTTTATTATTAAAGCACTATTAATCTGTTCGTGGAGATGTACAGCATTGTAGGTGACTTTCTGACCTCTATAACCTCTGCAATTCTCCAGATTATTGAAGAATCTTTTTTTTTCCCTTTTTTTTTTTGTAACAGCTGAGACTTTTGTCTATTTTATTTATTTATTTTTTTGCATATTTAAAAGGCATCTAACTTTTGGAGGCTGTATAGGCAGAACTGTGTGTTGTTGTAGTGTTTCCACAGTCATACTGGATTGGAGTGATAGAAACACAACAAGTCTCTTTTTTTAATTACTGATGTTGAAATTGGATCCAAATCATTGTGATTTTGAGGCCCACCACAACCTTATGTAGGAGTGTGGTTTTCCCCGCCCACCAAATTGATTGACAGATGTCATGTTTCCATACACATGTCCACAGAACATTTTTTGCAAGAAACTGTCATGTTCGGGTAGGTAGGAGATAAGGACTCAATCCCAATTTCTCAAAATGGGTCTATATTAATAATAAAAATAAAACAAAAAAGGCAACAAAAACAACCCTGAGAGGGAAAGCATTAACAAAACAAATAAACAAACAAACTTGACTGGGCAGGCTGGCAGGGATAAGGGCTGGAAGAAACAACAGGAGTGGACAAGGTGATAAATGACGATGAAGTGGCATAGAACAGCAGACAAGAGGAGACTATAAAAAATATAATTAACAAACTAACAAACAGGTGAGCATAATAAACTAATAATGGGTGGCACTAGACAATAGACAGAAGCACAAGACAAAAAGAAACAACACAAGACATGTGCTCACGTAAAAATGAGAATAGAACACGCAGCCAATGAGAAAACTTATTGACCTCGTGTTCACATAAAACATGACACTAAAGCACGCGGCCACAATGTAAACACGAACTGAGCATCCTCTGAAGCACGCGCATGTGCGCTCGTTCACTACAAAGATGGAATGTTCACAACAACAAGACACAGACCAAGACTGTCCGGTCTGAGAAAACTCGAGCCGAGCACAACATACATGACTCTGCCACCAAAACAAGAATCAACAAGACCAAAGTGGCAGAATCCTGACAGAAACTGGGATTAAAAAATGTTACAACTCTCTGTGATTAGCGGCACCTCAATAGTTAATTGTTAATTAATTTAAATTAGTTTAAAATGTTTTTAAAACAGAGCATTTTAATGATAAAGACAGTAAAATCGCTATCTAATTCTTAACCGCTATAATCAGTATGGGCACATGGTGTCAGTAAATGCATATGTAGATGTGTGTATTTGTGCACTGCAAATGTCATTTGTGTGTGACTCATCATTTCAGAAAGGCTTGAATAAATATCACAAATACATTAAATAAAATTACTTGGTATTTTTGACTAATGAGCTGCATTTCAGCTTCATGCATGTCTGTCTCTATCACTGGCGGCTGTCTATTTGATGTTATGCAATATGAGAAGCAGATATGCAAGTCGGAGCGGTGGGTGGGGAGAAGCAGCTAATTTGCATTTAAAGCCACAGGCTACAAAAACAGCTATATTGTCTTCAGACACCAAAAGGAGCAGCTTAGTTTGTTTGTTTGTTTGTTTGTATACTTTATTGTCCCTCAAGGGAAAATTTTCTGTGGACTTACACAACACTTCTGACAGTTCTGACACGAAAAAAGTATAAAAAAGTATAAAATAAGCAAACATGCAAAATAATTACATACACTATCAATCAGTGTTCAACAGTCTGATTGACACTGGGATAAAACAGTTCTTAAGTCTGTTCCGCTTCCAGCGAAAGGTTCTGTATCTTCTACCAGAAGGTAAAAGATCATAAAATGCGAAGAGAAGAGTACATGAGATGGGTTACTTAAAATTCTTTTTTCTTCATTCAGAGTATATTGCTCGTAAAGTGTTTGAATACTAGTAAAAGTTTCAGATTCTATTAGTCTCATAGCAGTTCTGATAGTATTAAAAATTTGTAAATTATATAATAAATAATCTTAAGGGTGTTTTAGAGAGAGAGAGAGAGAGAGAGAGAGAGAGAGAGAGAGAGAGAGAGAGAGAGAGAGAGAGATGGATTTTTCTTTTGATAACATTTTGAGCAAAAGATCAAAACATAGTGTGATCCTAAAACACAAACAAGGTGTTTGCCATCAAAATAAATGTGGTATTGATAATTGTTCTTTACTTTTGGGGCAGATTTCAGTGCACTGGATGCACATCTTGATGTTATTTTCCTCCACCTCCGTCTTGTTGCTCGGACAGGCTCTGACACAAGAGCTGTGATCCACCACAAAGTTATCTAGGTCAGAGAACGACACAGAGAACTTGTGAAAAAAGCTTCTTTTTTGATTTCTTTGGGACAGATTTATCAAAAATGAAAAATCTTGTCATCGTTTACTACCTATCAAATAGTTCAACTCACTGATTGACTCTTATTTTTGCAATTATTCATTTTAAAAACAGTAATACAATTCAGTAAAAACAGTAAAATATGAAAATATTATTATAAAATAATCCCTCTATCCCTCCCTCCTTACCACCTTTCTTCCTCCCATCTGTTCATCCATCCATTCATCCATCATTTCTATCTTCCTTCTTCTTTCCCATCCGTCCATCCATCCATCCATCCATCCATCCATCCATCCATCCATCCAT